ACACTGAGACCAAGCTATTGCCCCTAACAGAGTCTCCACAAACCCTCTTGGACCAAACCCGGAATCAGTGGAGAGTTTCATCTCACCTTCAATTCGCTCCATTGGCCAAACAGAGACAAATGGAAAAAAATAGGGTGTTACTAGTCAAGACTTATTTTCCTATGTCCAAAACTACTCTTCAAATAGTCAAATTAGGGTTCTCATTAGATCCTAGGATTCAAAAGCTTATCAATTTACTCAAGGAAGATGTTAGTATGTGGAAATTCTCGAGTGAAAAAAAGAAAATCTACCAGCTTACTCAAGACATGCAAATTCAGTTTCAATGGTCAAAGAGGAGTGCCAATTCTTTTGCATACTGTTTAGTGAATGGGAAGAGCTAGTTTCTTTTGGGCAGTGTTGTAATATGATGCTTTTCTTTTAGGGTGGGGTAAAAGTTTTTACCCCCCCCTCCTGTTGTATCTTCTTCCTTCTCCTTTATTAATAAAAGTTTCTGTTATTGATAATACAAAAGCTTATCAACTTGGATCGATCTCAAAGATAGTCAGAATGCTTCTATTCTATTCCCAAGCGCCACTTCTAGACTCCCTCTATACCCCATAATCAAAAGACTCTCCATTTAGGTAGGTTTTTTGGTAAACTCTCCAAGAACCTGCCTTGGGTCTAAAAACCTCTTCTAATTGGACTGAATACTTGCTAATCAATTAACCAATCAATTCTCCATAAGACCTGTGTATGGGATTATGAAGAAGAGAAGAGAAGGTAGGACCGCTGCTATAATACCAAGTTGTAGATCCCACCTGTAATAATCTGAAATAAAGAAAAGAAAAATAGAAGAGAAGAAGAAGATTGAAGAAGTTGGAAGAGAGAAAAGTAATGGAGGAAGAAGATGGAAGAAAGGGAAGGAAGAAGAGAGAGAGTTCGAATCCCTCTTCATCCCTCAATTATCTCTTTTATTCTCTAGTTGTAAAAATGAAGACAATTACATGAGTGCCCTTAGTAGGGTGGCTAAAACTAAAGATAATAATAAAAAAGAGAAAACATGTTCATAACTAAGGCCCACTACCTACTAACATAAGTCATAATATAACTTAAAGAAAATAAAGAAACTTAGGCCCATTTGACCCATTTGACCCATTTGGAGCTTGTGGGACATCTCCCACTACATCTAAGATCTCCTCATTGAGAACAATTTCTTGATGATGATTGCTTAGAATGTAGTCCTCTTCTAAGAAACGGACATTTTGAGTTTTCGACTAATAAATACCTTTTGTTCACTTGAATCATAGAACAGATGCCCAATGGAGTCCTTAGGGCAGCTTATAAATAGGCAACAGCTGGTTTTGGCTACCAATTTGTCTGTTCTACGAGTAGACAACATCATTATGTGTGACCTAGATCCTGGATTTTTCTTCTAGTAACTGCATTCAACTTGATTTTGATGGGTGTTCATAGGCAACCTTGTGCCTTCAGGGACACTTGCTGCTTTCAGGGGTCATAGTGGTCTGGTTATCTTGTTTTACTCAGGTTGAACTAGGCAATGGTGATTATGTGAGAGCTGATATCCTATCTGATCTTATCTCTACTTCAAGATTCCAAACTTTCCCTTTCTTTTGGTCATTTGAGCATTTTGGTAGAATTAGATCTAACTCTGGTTATTGCTTGGCTTTATAATGAATCTGGAGACTCATGTAGATTGATGCACTTTATAAGAAGGATTGAGCCCTGGCAAGGAACTAGTGCTGTTGTGCATTGCACTTTGTAATGAATCTGGAGGCTTATATAGATTGATTCTGCAGTGCATTAGTGCTGTTTTACATTGGTGTCATATTTCTTTACTAAGATTTGTTTTTTTGTAATTTTGGCCTTTTTGGATTTATGTATTTCGCTATTAGTATTCATTCATTTTTTCCTTTTTGTATCCAATGCTTTTGGTTTCTTTTGGACTGGACTCCTCTTTGTTCTTCCTTATATGTTAAAGTGTCATTCCCAAGAAAAGAAACAAAAGAAATTGCGGAGTTCCTTTTTAGCTTATTCTCTTATTGAAATCCGGTATAGACATTTCTGCAATGTTGGTATTGGCATCATGCTGTGAGATCAAGAACCTGAATTTTTGGTTTCTTTGTAATTCCTTTTCTAAGGTTCTATTTCGGCCCCCTATTCCTCTGCAACCCTTCCCTATTCAAGAGGTTTGGGGTAGAGTAGGCTTTTAGTTGGGAGATCTTTTATGAGAAATTTAACACTTGTGATATGTTCCAAAAAAGGAGACCCTATGGTTGCCTATTCTGTAATTGATGTGTATTGTGTGAGGCCAATGGCAAGACCTACTATCACTTACTAAGCTCCTGTCTATTTGCTGCTTGCATTGGGGATTGGTTTTTCTCTTTATTTTGATGCAGGTGGGCTCCCTTTTCTAATGTTGCAGCCTCTTTTCACCTTATGACTTTCATATGGCCAAAGAAGAGGGGAGGGTGGTGGTGCTCTAGCGCTGTTGTCATCTAGTCAATTTGGGAAAAGAGAAATGCAAGAATATTTATGAAAAAAGAAAGGTGTAAGCAATGATAGAGATCATTTCAAATAGGTGGGCGCCTAGGCGTCGCCTTGGCCCTTTGAGGCTTGCCTCGCCTAATCGCCAAGCAGTTTTCTACTTCCTACTATAAAATACTTTTTTATTCATTCCTTTTTGAGATTATAATTATAAAATAGACATTATTAAACTAAAATAATCATTTTGTGTGTTTATATACTAATTTCTTTTTATTATTTTTGAACATTGCTAAATGCTGTATTGAACCCTCAAAGACTTAAAAACCTGAACCAATAAGTAGGGAAGAACTTAAAATTTTATCTAATCAGCACATTTTCCTCTTCCATATATTCTTCTTCTACTTCTTTTTCTTCTTCTACTACTACTACTACTACTACCACCACCAATACATTTTATTTTCTTCTTTTCCTATAACAAAAATAAGGGTTCAGCCCTTATATTTTTTGAATTTTATTTTCTTTCTTCCTTTTCTTCTCATGAATATGTTGGTTTTCTATACTTTAATATGAAATTTATACCTTTCTTATGAAAATCATGAATAACTATTAAAGAAATATGGTTATGGTACCTAGGGAACTACCCTAGGATCTATGTTTTTAACATAAAAAATCCATCGCCTAGGCGACTAGGCAACAAGGAGCCCCCCAGTTGCCTAGCCTTGCCTTGGTGCCTTGAAAACTATGATTGGGTGAAATCTATGGAGACTCTCTCATTTCTCAACAGATGGCATAATTAGAAAGTGGAGAGGAGTGGCAGACTCATCATTAGGTAAAAATCAAATGAGTGGTAGTTGGATATCACTGATGAAGGATTCACAAAACTGAATTTTGATGGAAGCGGTGGAGGTAACCCCAGTCCATCAGGTTTGGGAGGTGTATTCAGAAATGATGAAGCTCATATTATGGCATTGTTCGGAGGACTGGTTGGTATAGGAGACTCATTAAGAGTTGAGGTTATGGCTGTCATGGAAGCTGTTCAAAGGGCAAGACAAATGAATGTGCATAAGTTGATCATTGAACAAGATAGAGAAGCAGTTACATGGGCCTACAGAAATGAAAATAAGAAATTTAGGTGGCTTACTAGGGGTATGGAAGTGAAGATGCAATGGGTCCAAAGGGAAGCTAATTGTATGGCTGACAATTTAGCTAACCAAGGATGTTATGGACGCATTTGTGGGGAAGAAGTTCCGCCGCCGGCAGCAGCAGTAACGTGGGACCCTCATCAGATTATCTAGCTAGCCACAGTTCATCGTACCTTATCTTTATCTTATCTGCTTTCTTACTCTTATCTTATCTGGATTAGTATAGAGTCTGATTTATCTTAGGGAGTTTTTATCCTTCTTGAGTAGGGAGTCTTATCTATCTTA